AATGGCGATCATTAAAACATCTGGAGACAACTGATGCTGGAGAGGATGTGGAGAAATAGGAACATTTTTACATTGTTGGTGGGAGTGTAAATTAGTTCAACCATTGTGGAAGACAGTGTGGCGATTCCCCAAGGCCTTAGAAATAGAAATTCCATTTGACCCAGCAATCCCATTACTGGGTATATATCCAAAGGACTATTAATCATTCTACTATAAGGACACATGCACACAAATGTTCATTGCAGCACTGTTTACAATAGCAAATACCTGGAACCAACCCAAATGCCCAGGAACGATAGACTAGACAAGGAAAACGTGGCACATATACACCATGAAATGCAATGCAGCTATAAAAAAGGATGAGTTCATGTCCTTCGTAGAGACATGGATGAATCTGGAAACCATCATTCTCAGCAAACTGACACAAAAACAGAAAACAAAACATTTCATGTTCTCACTCATAAATACGTCTTGAACAATGAGAACACATGGACACAGGTAGGGGACCATCACACACTGGGGTCTATTGGGGGGTAGGGGGGTAGGGGAGGGACAGCAGAGGGTAGGGAGGTTGAGGAGGAATAACATTGGGAGAAATGCCTGATGTAGGTGATGGGGGGATGGAGGCAGAAAACCACCATGGCATGTGTGTGCCTATGCAACAGTCCTGCAAGATCTGCATATGTACCCCAGAACTTAAAGTACAATTAAAAAAAAGTGAAACTTCAAGGTTAAGGAAATAGAAGGGAGGTAAAGAGAAAAAGAACTAAGAATTGCTTCAAGAATGCATAAGGTAACAAAAACAATTATAACCCCAAGCTTTTACATTCAGTCTGGGTCCTCCTCCTATATTTTGCTTAGAGTTATTCTGTAATAACCTAAAATTGTAGTTCTTTCTGTAGAGATGAGAATTATGCCACCTTCACTCTCTCTACCCATATTCAACTGATGTGTTCATGATTATGTTAAGTCTCTTATTGGTTAAGTGGAATGTGTTAATGAAGTGTAACCTTTTGTGTTGCATATTTAGAAAATAAAAATATTAGTTGCCAATATAATTATATTTTTACAAAAGCTGTATTGACTTATTTTATCTAATTTAATGTTCACAGAAGTCGTATGATATGAACATTTATCCTTATTTTATAGGAAGCTGAGTAGTAGAGAATTCAATTGTCATAGGTGTTTATACATAGTTAATAACACAATCAATAGAGTTTGCTGGTGAAGCCGCCCTGTCATGGATTTTGGGAGAAGGTTTTTGATTACTAATTCAGTTTGTTGTTATTAGTCTATTAAAATTTTCTACCTTATCTGGAGTCATTTTAAGTTATTCTAGGAATTTTCCCATTTCATCCAGTTTGCCCAGTGCTGGCATACAACTGTTCATGGTATTGTCTTATAATCTTTTTATTTAGCTAAGGTTAACAGTAATGTCCCCACTTTCATCTCTAGTTTTCTTTCTTCACTATATTTTAGTTATTTGTGTTTTTCCTTTGTTTCTTTGAGTTTAGCTAAATATTTGTCAAACTGTGCTGATCTTTTTCAAAGAACTAACTTGTGTATCTACTCATTTTCTATATTATTTTTCTATTCTTTATTTTACTTATCTCTGCTCTAACCTTAATAATTTTATTCTTTCTGCTAGATTTGCACTTAGTTTGTTCTTGTTGTTTTTTTCAGTTCTTTGAGGTAAAGTCATTGTTCTGCAAGCTTTCTTTTTAATTAAAAATGATAGCTAGAAATTTCCTTCTGAGCAGTGCTTTTGCTGTATCTCATACATTTTGGTATATGTTACTTTGGTTTTTGTTTTGGGCTATACATTTTCTTTTGTGATTTCTTATTGATCCATTGGTTGTTTAACAGTGTGTTAATTACCAAATATTTTTGAATTTTCCAGTTTTCTATGTAATTGGATTTTACAATCCAACTATTGAGACCTGTTTTGTGTCCTTAATATATAGAAGTATATCATGGAGAATATTCCATGTCATGTATTTGAAAAGAACACATATTTCACTGTTATTGGGTGGATTATTCTATATATGTCTGTTAGGTCTAGATGCTTATATTATTTTTCAAGTTCTCCATTTCCACAGTGATTTTTCTATGTAACTGGTCTATCAATTATTGGAAGTCATACATTAAAGTTTCTAATTATTATTGCTGAACTGCTTATTTTTCTTTCAATACTGTCAATGTTTCCTTCATATAAGTTGGGGACTCTATAATTTAGAACACATGCTTATAATTGTTAAATGTTCTTGATGATTTAACATATTTATCAATATATTATGTACTGATTTGTCCTTTTAACAGTTGTTAATGTAGGTTCCATTTTGTCTGATATTAGTATAGTGACCACAGCTCTCTTGCGTATTATATCCTTTCCCTTCTTTTACTTTCAATCTACGGATTTCTTTGTGCTTTATATTAGTATCTTATAGACATCATATAGTTGGATCAGGGTTCTTCTGTGTCATTCATTCTGTCGATTTTGCCCTTTTAAGAGTTTAATTCATTTTCATTAAGAGTAATCATTAACTAGAAAAAAAACCATTTTCCTATTATTTCTCTGTCTAACATAGTGTTTGTCCCTCACATTCTTCATTACTACCTTCATTATGTTTAGTTAATTTTTTGTACTGAGCCATTTTGATTATTTACTGATTTCATTTTGTGGGTAGTTTTTAGGTAATTTTGCAGTTACCATGAGCGTTACATTTAACATGCTAAATTTAAAACAATAAAAAGTTGATAGCAACTTAGCTTTAAAAGCATACAGAAACTCTGCTCCTATTCATTCTCATCATCCCTCCTTTATATTGTCATTGTCATCATGAATTGCTTCTTTATGCATAGTGTGAAAAATAATGTAAATTCATAATTTCCTTTGTACTTTATTTTATAGCTTGTTGGAAAATAGAAAGTCTTGTTATACTTGCTTTTATATTCACAGATGTATTTACTCCTATCAGAGATCATAATTTCTACATATGGCTTTGAGTTACTGTCTAGGATCCTTTTATTTTAACCTTTTATTTTAACCCTTTGGCATTTCTTATAGTACAGACATAGTAATAATAAATTCCATCAGCTTTTGTTTATTTGAGAGAGGCTTATTTTCTCCCTCATTTTTCAAGTTTTGTCATATAAAGCTTGATTGTGTCCCAAAGGCCAATTAGGCTCTGTTCCCTTTTTTCATTCTATTAGATTGGTGCAATATTAATTGTGGTTTTTGCATTGAAAATAATGGCAAAACCACAGTTACTTTTGCACCAACCTACATTTCCTTTTTGCTTCTTGGGCTTGATAACTTCAATTGCTCACTCTTCGGGTTCACTGATTCTTCTGCCTGCTAAAATCCGCAATTGAACCCCTACAGTGAAATTTGTATTTTGGTTATTGTTATTCAGCTCTATATTTTCTTGTTAATTACTTTTCATAGTTGCTTTTAATAGCAAAAATTCTCATTTTGTTCATATTTTTTTATGATTTCCCTTAGTTATTTGTGCTTCCTTTTAGCACTTTGAACGTACTTAAGATAGTTTTCAGTAACTTCAATATCTGCACCTTCTGCATGATATATGTCCATTTATTTTGTTCCTTTGATGAGCTGTACTTCATTGTTTTTGTATGCATTGTTTTTGTTGTTGTTGAAAACCGGTCATTTAGAAATATTATGATGTGGTAGTTCCAGAAATTATACTCAATCCCTTCTCTAGATTTGTGTTTGGGGCAGGGGGACTTATTGAAGGCTGTCGTAGCACATTTGTTTAGTGACTTTGCCAAACCATTATTGGAAAGACCGTATCCTTTGTCAATGGGGTCACTGAAGTTTCTGTTACTTGGTTTGTGTTTATCAAATATTTTGACAGAGGTTTTTGAATGCAAGGAGCTAAAAAGTGAAAAATAAATAAAGGATAGAAAAGAGAAACACACCTTTCCTAGTCTTTGAAAATGGACTTTGTATTGGGGCAGTTTTTAAACTCTTATCTCAGCTTGCACTGAGATTAGGGAAAGCTCAATGTCATTTCAGGTTTTTTCTGTGAGTCTTACCCTGAGTATGCAGATGCTTTCCTAAGTTCCCCAGTTTACATAGTTGCTTTTGACAAATCATAATTTCTCTCCCACAAAAAACTACCCAGCTTTTGCCTTTGCCAGTTTACTGTACATTTTTACCATAATCTTTTGCTATAGACATGTATCGTTAGCTTGACTTACAATGTTTTCCAGCAATGATCTCTGATTTTCCACTACAATTCCAAGTTAGGCAGAAACAGATATGAGCTCCTTGCACCAGTATTTCATGTAGCCCCCAGACAGGTTAAAATAGACATAGCTTTGTCAATAAAGTCTGTTTTGCTCTCTCTGGAGTCAAGAAAACTGTCTGGCTTTGAGAATATGAGCTGCTGCCACTTTAAGATCTCTACTATTTTTAAATTGCTGCCTTGCCATAATGTGAGTGGGATGAGGGCAAATAATGTTGCTACAGAACATTCTTATGATTCTGAAGTGACTTTTCTTGATTCAACTCTTACTTGGCTGCTGAAACCTTTCAACTGTTTACCAGAGTTCCCACAAAATTGATTCTGATGGTTTCTGCTTCTTTTTTTCCCCCAGTATTTCAGTGGGACAATAAGCTTGGAGATGTCTAGATCTGCCATTTTGCTGACATCATTCCTCAGATATTGGTCTAAAAGCCAATCTTTGTCAAGGAAAAATAGTATTATTCTGAGATATTCTCAATATATTAGGACAATAAGACATTTTCCTCCCACAACAGTCATAGGGTTTTTATTGTTTTAATTCAAAAAGAATGTTTAGAAATAGTTACTCAAAGCCATCTTTAGTTATTTTAGTACAATGACAATGATCAATTAGTACAAAATAATATAAATAAAAAAATGTATAATATTAGAGGGTAATTTGAGGAGACTTAGTTTCCCTCATTTGTTGTTTCTGATATCTCGAATAGTATTTAAGTTTTTATCTGAGAGTTTAAATTTTGTGAGAATTAGTTTTTGCTTGCATCATGAGTTGTATACTTGATGTTTCTCCTGAGGTTCCCAAGATTTATTGATTAAGAACCGTACTTTAATTTTTCAGCTTGTGCCCTCTCTATAGTGTAATTCACTCATATGTGGCACCAGCCATAGCTTTCAGTTACTTTTTTCAAAGATAGGAAAGTAGCCCATTTGTTCTTCACCATCTTAGGCAGATAGGTAGATTTCTATAATTGTCATTTTTTTTGTGTGTGTTGATTCCACTATCTTTTAAGGGAATCAATTCCAAGTCCCACAGGCACATTTATAATATGCAACCTCAGCTTCCTTACCTAACATTAAAGCATGGATATAGTTTACCTTCCATGTAGAATACACATCTTCAAATTTACTTACTACTCTGAAATATCACTTCGTTTCTTGTACCTGGAAATAACATTAATATGCATTGGTCTTAAAAGGCATTTGTACAAAATTTTAATCCTATTATTCTAGACAAGATCTTATCCTCAGGTGCCATCAGCCATGTTGTTTCAATGTTTTTCATGATATTTCATGCTGCTGATGTTTTCAATGGTCTCAGAACTCTTCTGATCACCATTTTATCATTCCATATGGTTTCTTATCACCAAGGGTAATAAACAAGCAAGAAATGCATTTCCTTACCTTTAGTAAATTCTACCCATCAGCTTTATCATAGTTACTCCTTGCCCTATTTGATAGATTCTTGCCTGCTTCAATTAAACTTTTTCAAAGTTCATCTAAGGTCATGGGAGGTCCAGAAATTACATCTCAAAGGTAAAACTCTAAGTTGCAGTGATAGATATGGATAACATAATGGTTTGGAGACAAGGAGGACCTCACTACTAGAGATTGAGTATTGTTAGTTCCTATCATGCTTTAACAGTGGCATTGCTAAGATTTTCACCTGTGCAAGCTGCAAAGAAGTATTGATGGAACTGGATGCACCAGCTGGTATAATATCTTGAGTACTTCAAATAAGTAGAGTAACAACAATTATAAACACCGGCAATTCCTGGGAAAGAGAAAAAAGAACAGGCTCAGATATGTTAATCAAAAAATTAAAGGAAAGTATAAGAAAGAAAAGGCTTCCTTAAGAACCTTTCAAGATACCTATGACAGATGAAGAGCAGTCAGATACAGAGAGCCTAAATGTAGGACCAATTTAGTGAGAAAATTTGAGTTTTAGAATTTCCCTAGGGAATCAGACTGAAGCAAGCTTCCAGGTGAGACCACATATTTGTTAAGTTTTTCTCCCTACTCTGTCCTCCTCCTCTGATTCTCCTCTTGAGAACACTTCCTCAAGAAACACTTAAATAAGAATTTCCCATTTCAGGCTCAGCTACTAGAGAATCCAACCTAAGATAGACCTTTATTTAGGTCTTCCCTGATTAAATCAATCAGTGATCTAATATTTGTTTACCTTCCCTCCAAGAAGAGTAAAATAACATAAGAAGAAAAACGAATGCCCATCTCAACTTGTTGGGTTTCGTGTCAACAGGTGACACATTTTTTACAGCTATGTTCATTTTATTGAATAATATATTGTGAAGATTCTTTAATAGAAACATTAAGTATAAATTATTTGTCATAAATCTTACAGGTTTTACTTTAGGTACTTTTTGGCAAGACCATGCATTCCTCACCCAAATGGAAAACCTAAAATATTATATCTTAATACAAAATGGTAACTATAAAACATAATATTAACTCATACTTATGATAAATATCTAGCCTATTTCTCTTATATACTCATAAAAACCCAGAAGAAGTACCTATATATGTATAAAAATGTATATTTGATTATAAAGAAGTAGTTTACCAATGATTATACAATAAAGGGCGTAAATATTAAGTGATTCAGGAAATTGAAAAATAATCATATCATATCTTGTATCCTTGATATTTTACATGAAGTGTCTCATTTATGTTTTACAAAATGCTTTGCTGTCTTTGGCTATGAATCCATTGAGTCCAAAATTATAAGATATGTATGTTTATATTATACATATGCCTGATTTCTATATTCTCATATGTACATATTAAAATTAGGGGAAAATAATTTTAATGAATATATTTCATAATGTGTTTTAGATCTTAACTTATGCAATACATGGGATACTAAATCTAAAACCTGAATATTAAAGTATTTATTTTGCAGTCTGTATCAAAATGTCCCAATCCTAAAATTGAGCATAAAACATGGCATATAGGGCCTGGCATGGTGGCTCATGCCTGTAATCCCTGCACTTTTGGAGACTGAAGTGGGAGGATCTCCTGGGGTCAGAAGATCAAGACCAGCCTGACTAACATGGTGAAACCTTGTCTCTACTGAAAATACAAAAAATTATCTGGGCATGGTGTCAGATGCCTGTAATCTCAGCTACTGGGGAGGCTGAGGCAGGAGAATTGCTTGAAACTGAGAGGCAGAGGTTGCAGTGAACCAAGATCCACCATTGCACTCCAGCATGGGCTACAAGAGCAAAACTCCGTCTCAAAAAAACATTGCATATACCCTTTCATCCTGTCCACAGTTATGATTCATCACTGATATTTATGGTTGCTTTCATGTCTAATTCAAATTACAAAACACAGTTGAAATTGATCTTTAAGAAACAAAAAAGCTGGTATTAAGTGACCTTGCTTAGTTCAGTATTTCTTTCCTTTTTTTAATTTTTTAAAAAACATTTTGATAGTTTTATGTTTAAAAGTAAAGTAATTCATTTATTTTCTGTTGGCTTTATGTGAATTGAATCTCTCTATTATTTTCCTTGGTAAATAACTTTTGCTTTATTTCATAAACCATTTATTTTCATGAGCAAGCTATCACAATATCTTTATGGCAGCTAACAAATATCTGAGCACATATGATATACCAGGGCTTGTTCTACAGTCTGGAGCTCTAACAATAAAAAACTAGAAACAAAAAGCCCCTTTCTATATGGAGCTTATCTTCTAGTGGGACTGACATATAATAGAAAGTAAATAAATATAAAATATAATTCTAGTTGGTGCTAAGTACTCTGAAGAAAAGAAAGAATAACTGGAGGGTCTATAGATGACCTGTCTAAGGAAGTAACAACAAATTAGCTGGGCATATTGGCATGCACCTGTAATCCCAGCTACTCAGGAGGCCGAGGCAGGAGAATTGCTTGAACCTGGAAGGCAGAGGTTGCAGTGTGGCAAGATCATACCACTACACTCCAGTTAGTGTGACAGGGCAAAACTCTGCCTCAAAAAAAGGGAGGTGGGTGGGAAGTAATAAATAAGTATGGTTACAAAAATAAAAATAAGTATATTCTCTTAAAAACATGATTAGGAAATTTTAAGTATTCTGCTAACGGTTTTAGTAAAGTTATAAATACAATTTATCAAAAGTTATAGGTTTTTACTTCCACTGGTGAAGTAATGACTAAGCTCTGATGAGACTTCTCTCACCATAAACCATTAGAAAATTGGACACATTATATGGAATAACTATCCTCAGTAGTGCAGAGTATGATTCATGAGGAAAAAGATAGAAATAAGGCTATTCCTATGAGAATCATGGCTTTTTGCTACAAGGCAGTTGCCAGATATTATGGCAGGAAATGGGAACTCAAAGAGACCATGGTATTCTGGCTTATGTGGAGCTGGTATCTGGGGAGGCAGAGAGGGGCTATAATTTATGGGACATAGTACATACTCCCTTCCAGTGAAGGGAGTTCATTTGGGGGGAAAACGTTGTTCAAAGCTATTTTAAATATTTTACGATAAATTTTTACTTGGCATCATTAAATGGTTATTGACAACTGCGACTTTGAGAGAAATCATGTACAGCAGGTTCTTGAATAACATAATTTCATTTAATGTAATTTTGTCATAACATTGGTGAGACGAAAAATGTTTTTGTTCTATACAGTCTCACTTAAATTTGTAGTTTCCAAAAACCTATCAACTACCTTAAGTGCAGACTTTTTGTATGCATATATAATATTTTATATATTACATATATAAATATTTAAATATACATGTAAAGAGTCAAAAGAAAATAAAGATAAGTATAAAATAGAAGTTATAAAAATAAGCAAAGGAACTTATAATGATAAAAAATACAATATTGAACTGAAAGAGTTACTGGAAACGATTAGGACAGATTATACACTTTGGAAAAGTATCAGTGGCGTTTAAGACGTAACAAGAAATTCAAAATAAGCACAGAAAGAGAAAAGATTGAGATGGAAAACAAACCTCTGTATCTTGTGAGATTATATTAAGTGTCTCACATAGATTAGGAGTTCAAAAAGAAGAGGGAGCAGACAGAAGGAAAGAATAAAATATTTGAAGAAATCATATTCAAATATTTTCCAATATTAATGAAAACTATAAATCCACAGATCAAACAAAAACTTTCATGAACCACAAGAAGGATTAAAAACAAAGAAAATGATGCCAAAACACAATGTAATTAAATTGCATAAAATCAATAAAAAAGAAAATTTTATGGAGAACCAATAAAAAGAGATAACATTTTATTTAAAGGAACAAAGACAATTTATCTCAGCAGAAAATTCATTAGAAAATATATACCTGTGAAGTCAATAGAAAACCATCTTTAAAGAAGTAAAAGAAAAATTTGACATATATTTCTAAACTAAGCAATAAATATCTTAAAAAACTAAAAGTCTTGAAATAAAGACCTCTTCAGACAAACAGAAGGTGAGAGAATCTATCGTCAGTAAATTGGCACTGAAAGAAATGTTAAATTAAAAAAAATAAATGTTAAATTAATTTTTTGGGCAACAGGTAAATGATCTCAGCTGGAAAACTGATCTATATATTGGAATAAAAGCACAAGAAATACATTTAATGTAAATATAAAAATATTTTTCTCATTTGTGCATTTAAAAATATATATTTGATTGCTTAAGCAATGATAATAACCGTTAACTAGATTAATACAAATCCATAACCTAGAAGCCTGGAAGAAAAGAAGTGCTTATTTCCAGGCATAAAAATTATGTATTTATCCTCAATTTCTTCTTCTCTAGAAGGTGTCTGGCTAACAGTAAAAAGACAAAAACAGACAAAATAGAGAGAGATTTCTAAAATACAGAATAATCCTTCTCTTTTTTTTGAGACGGAGTTTCGTTCTTGTTACCCAGGCTGGAGTGCAACGGTGCGACCTCGGCTCACCGCAACCTCCGCCTCCTGGGTTCAGGCAATTCTCCTGCCTCAGCCTCCAGAGTAGCTGGGATTACAGGCATGCACCACCACGCCCAGCTAATTTTTTGTATTTTTAGTAGAGACGGGGTTTCACCATTTTGACTAGGATGGTCTCGATCTCTTGACCTCGTGATCCACCTGCCTCGGCCTCCCAAAGTGCTGGGATTACAGGCGAGAGCCACCGCGCCCGGCCAGAATAATCTTTTTTAAGAATCACAGTTATTTTCAGAAATAATAGACTCAAGTCTATTTTTCTTGACCAGCACAAATATTGAAACTGTCTGACAAGAAATTCAAAAGATGATAGATTTAAACTATTTATTAATAAAGTATAAGTAATTGAATGTACCAATTAAAAGAAATTTTCAGTCTTCCAAAGCAAGACCCAACTGCGTGTTAAATATAAGAAACCAATTAAACATATAAATAAACATTTAGCTTAAATTTTAAAAGATGAAAAAGATACACAGTCAGGCATTCACAACCAAGATATATTTTGAGACATTCGTTGGTAGATTTTCTTTCTGTGAACATCAAGGAGCATGCTTATACAAATCTAGATGGTATAGCCAACTACACACCTACAATATATGGTAAAGACCATTGCTCCAGGCTGCTAACCTGCACAGCAGGACACTCTGCTGAATACTGTAGTCGACTGTAACACAATGGAAGTATTTATCTGTGTGTGTGTATGTGTAAAAATTGAACAGTACACCTGTACCAGTGCAGCTTCATTATAATCTTATGGGATCACTGTCCATTGTTGTATAAGCAGTCTGTTGACCAAAATTTCATTATGTGGCACATGACTGTATCATAAAAATAAAGTAAAATTAAAAAACATTTATCAAAACAATTAGCCAATACTCTCAAAAGTATCAAGGAAAAGAATAACTAGTAAATATGGCACATTCATTGAATGGGGAACACTAAGCAGACATAAAATCTAAAGAAAATAGTTTCACTTGTTTTGATGCTGCAACAGAAAAAGTATTTCAGAAAAAATAATGCTGAGATAAAAATAAAGTAGTTTAGTTACTAATGTTGTAGTGATCTTGATCTCTTAGTTTTGATAATTGTACACTGCTATGTAAGTGATTTGCATTTGGGAACGTTAGGTAAAGAGTATGTGGGAAGTCTTTGTACTATTTCTGCAACATTTCAGAAAATGTGAAACTACTTCAATGAAAAAGTAAAAATGAAAGAAAACATTTTTAAAAGTAGGTAAGTTCATAAAAAGGAATAAAATAATTTCTCTTTAATGAAAATGTAATCTTGTTTCAGCTCTTTACTTTATATTTCTGCCTACAAATTTCTTTATGTAAAGTAAATATAGTCCTTGTAATATGGAAATGAAATTGATCATATGCCGCATTTTATAAGTAAAACAAAAGTAACTTATCATCTGAGTCTTTGCCTAATGAAAATCCTAGTGATGTTTTTCTTGGAGATCCTTATTTTTTTCTCCTTAGCAGGAAACTGAATGAAGTCAGAAAAAAAAAATTCCTTCAATTTTTTTGGTCTCTATCACCATACTACATTTTACATTTAAAAAGCATATATGCTGTGATCATTGTTTCAAATTCAGTGTTCTTTCTTGGACTATATGTATGTGTATTTGAATATATTGAGGTGTCAAATTTTAGGTAAAATATAATGATTAGAGTTTGAAAAAGTAAGGCTGAGTGCCTTTCACACTTATCTGTACATCACAGTCACCTGGAGAGCATTTTTAAATTGCGTATTCCACGATTCCACAGTCAGATTTTATTAAAACTGAATTAGTGTAAGAGAAAATGTACATTTAATAGGTCCCCAGCTGATTTTGATAAATTTCCAGGTCTGAATACTATTGTCATAAGCCAAACTTCAAATACACCCATTTAATTCTTAATAATATACCATAAGATAATAGAGTACAGTGCTTCAAATTCAGGAAACCGTAACTTATTTCTACAAGAAGTGCACTTGGGAATTTTCTTCCCAATTTTAGTCTTCCTAAAATCCCATTTTTTAAGTCTTAAAAGAAATCAAGATAGTAATATGTGCCATTTAATGTCATGATTATTAGAACAGTGTACATATGTCATGTTCTTGATATATAACAAATGTTTTACAAATAATAAAATGTTCAAATACACATATGTAAGATTTAAGTACTTTACATATTCTACAGTTGAAAATAAGTATGTGAGTATATAACACATATAATGGGAATATATGTATATGTAGAATATTACATATTAATTATAAAGATTGTTTTGATACATATGCTTGCCTTAGGAGTTAATAAAACTTCTACTAACCTGAGATACTTTCAAGGAGAGTGTTGTCTTCTTCATTTCTTCACCACCATTACTGTATTTGAAAGAATAAATAATAACATGCATTATTGATGCCAATCCAATCACAAATGCAATTTTTTACATTTGTACATTATTTTTTTACTTTTTCAGATGCTGATCACTTAATTGAATTCTATGTTTGATATTACCTTTGGTAGAACTGAAGCACAACTGACAATAATCTAACTGCCCTTTCTCTCACACGCACGAGTAAACAATACCAAGAAATACCAAGAATATTTATAAAGGGATATCATATTTGCACAGAAATGGTCTGTGTCTGAAGAACTTTATTGAGAAGACATGGAAATTCTTTAAAACTTGATAAAACTAGAAGCATAAAAAGGATACAGTTTTTATTTCCTTGAATACCATTGTATTTCCTTCATATGTACCAACAATTTATCTTTAGTGACAACTTTCCAAGAGGTTACATACCATTTTTTTAAATGATGGAAACACTAATAAATATATGCCTTCTGTAGAAGAAAAGTAAAATGTTGGAAATTTCTAAGGATCAGGAAAAAAGAAGGCAGTAGGCACTTTTATCTATTAACACATAGAAAAAAAATTAACAATATAAGAACTTTAAATTATTTTTAGTTTATTTTGCATTTTTTCATGTAACCTTTGTTTTATTGTTCAATTATTGTACTGAGACCTATAGTCATTTATTTTCTAAAAGATATTCTACATATTTTCTGGAAAGGAGGCATTTATGTGACCATAAAATATCTTGCTTCTTGAAACAGAAATATGATACAAAGGCACTCTAAACCTTGTACTGTAGAATAGGAAAAGTTAGTGATGAATTGAAGAGTTAAGAAATACCATTGGATCATAGACAGCTTAAACATCTTGAAAACACAAACTTAGATATTAAATTTTCAAAATTTCACTTTCTTTTCTACCCAATTTGTAAGCAATATAAAATATAAACTAGTTTGAGTGCATTCTACTCTGTACCATAAAATAAATTTTGTGAGTTATTTCATTTGTGTTTAATCATTGTTTGTGTCTATAAGACAATAATTTTCAAACTTAGATAAGGCAAAGCTCTTATAAAGTTTAAGATGTTGATTTTGAACTTGGGTTTTGAAAACTACTTATCTCTCTTATAAAATCAATTGACTCATGTAAAAATAATTTCCTTCTGAGGAACAACAATTTGGTTAGCAAAATTAAAACAAAGATAAAAAATTGATTTTACCTATATTCTATGACATCCCCACTTTTTTCTAAAAACTATTCTATCTTATATTTCATTTCAACTATTTAGGTTAAACACATATCTGAAGTTTACATACTTTATGGTTCTAGCATCCACTTAATGTTTACTCAGTGTACACTTACTCCCAACTAAAAGTAGGTATTTCATTGTATCTATGAACACTTAGAAGAATCAGCTATGATCTGAAATAAGTGAAATCCAAGGTCCAACTTACTGACCATGATGAAATTCATGACACTTAAAAATACCTAGCATAGGCTGGACATGGTGGCTCATGCCTGTAATCCCAGCACTTTGGGAGGCCAATGCGGGAGGAACACCAGTTCAGAAATTCGAGACTAGTCTGGCCAATATGGTGAAACCCCATCTCTACCAAAAAATGCAAAAATTACAAAATACAAAAATAAAAAAAATACGGGGCATGGTGGCGCTTGCCTGTAGTCCCCACTACTGGGGATGCTGAGGCAAAAGAATCTATTGAACCCAGGAGGCAGAGGTTACAATGAGCCAAGAGGATGCCACTGCAGTCCAGCCTGGACGACAGAGTGAGACTAAGTCTCAAAAAAAAAAAAAAAGTACATCGCATAATAGATAAAATTGGCTTAGGTATATTAAAAAATTGCCCAGTAGTGCCAAATGGCAAACCACTGCTTTATTATTAATTTGTCTATAGGACTAGTTTTGGATCTTAAAATAATCATAGTTTCAGCACACATTTATTGGACAGCTAGCATGTTTCAAGTATTATACTTAGCATTTTATCTATATTATCGCACTTAAGCTTCAAATAACTCTGTGATATGGGAAATATTAGCTGTTTTATAAAAAAGAGTAACTTGCCTGTCTACAGTGACAAAATGAGTAAGTAACTGAACTGGTTTCAAACTTGATCATTGGATTCAAAAGCTCATGGGCTTAGTCAGTCTGTATAGTGAAGAAAGCTCTGGAAGCGCAGTCACTGGGGAGATAATTGCTTATGATCACTGCAATATAAAATGGCTTTAAAGATCCCACCACTGAGAAACTTTTTGCCCCCTCAATATATGCCACAAGGGATATAAAACTATAAACTTCACTTTGCTCTTTAAATGATTACCCAGCAGTGGAAAGCCTTTTTAAGAAGTCATAAGGAGGAAATGAACTAGTTCAAAATCCCTCATCAGCTTTGTGGAGAAGGCAAATTCTTTTGCACAAATGCATTGTGCTGTAAACAGTTCCATTATTAGCTAATATTCCTTCCCAGCAAGTAAAATGTGACACAACAATAAATTTCTATTCACAATACAACTTCTGATGAACAACAAATAACATTATTCAAAAGGCCAAAGGCAATTTTTTCTACTTATTAACTGTTTGAGTAGCAGCTCCACAGAAACAGGTGACATGAATGAAGATATTATTATGTCTGGAGATAAAGTTGGAAAAATTTAGATCTTCATTGGGAAGATTATTTTAGAATTTTAGACCAAGAAAGAACTACAAAGATGAAATTTCCCATCTTTTATAATTTAAGGTAGAGAAATTCAGACTCAGGAAAATTAAGTGGCTTATTCAGTGTCACACAGCTGACTATTGACAAATCTGAGAACAGAATGAAGTCTTTTGTACTTTTCTAATGCACTACATATTTTTTGAGGCTGACTTGAGACACTTGTTTAGATATTTAATCAAAATGGAATTATTTATTACTTCTCTTAATCTCAGCCAAAGTTAGCACTCCCTACTGCTACAAGCAAAATATTGAGTCATCCTGCATTTTTATCTTTTCACCACATAACTCATTTATCTGTACATGGAATCATGCATTTTACATATTTATAAATATTTAATTGTTGGTTTTGAAAACTTAAATGCAAGGTTTTAAAGAAAGGAGTTTTATCTTTTTCACCACTATTTCCAGTGAGGTGACCAACTATCCTGGTTGGCGTGGAACTACAGATCCCTGGATGTGGGGTTTTCAGTGCTAAAATTGGAAATGTCCTTGGAAAATTAGGGTGAGTTGGTCATTCATCAGGGCTTAAGCATATAGATTTTACAGCTTCTGCATCTCACTCTTCTAAGTGGTAATATTAACATCAGAATCATCCCAATTTTTAAAAAATTATTACCAACACATTCTGGGTGATGGCAGCAATGTGCCTCAATTTGAATATAGTTTCTGTTTGATTTGGGGTACTGCAGGTTCTATCCTCATTTAAAAGGACAGTATAAGGCTCAGCATGGTAGTTTATGCTTGTAATCTTAGCTCTTTAGGAGGCCAAAGCTGGGGGATTGCTTGAGGCCAGACTGGACAACATAGAGAGATCTCTGTCTCTACAAAAAAATTTTAAAATTAGCTGAACATGGTTATGTGCACCCATAGTCCTAGCTACTTGGGAGGTTGAGGTGGGAGGATCACTTGAACCCAAATGTTTAAGGTTACATTGAACTCTGATCATGCCACTGCACTCCAACCTGGGTAACAGAGTAAGACCCTGTCTCAAATATAAATAAACAAAAATAAAGGACAGTGTATGTTATACTGTAGTCACTCAATCAGTATTTGTTGCCTGACATATATGTTAAATTGTAACAGTAGCAATTTCAGTTCTGATTTCTGGTGACAGATGGTTTATCTCTTTACCCATTGTATTATTTCTCAGTCTCCAATTTTAGGCTGAATAGTTATTTGTTTGTTAAGATAGGAAATTGTTGTAAGATGCTTACCATTTTACATATATGTGTGTGTGTGTGTGTGTGCCTATATAGGTACATATGCACAAACATAAACAGATTTATGCATATATAATATATATACTATACATACATATTAATATGTATGTGTAATAAAACTAAAAACCATATGGATGATATATATATGCATACAAATAGTCTTAAAATGCTGTTATTTTATTGTTTGGCTCAGAGTTGTCAAATAATACCAGTTAGAGTGCACAGAAAAAGTTAAAGATTGTTTTTGGTATCAAGAAATAGACAGTAAATCCCATCACTATAAAAATCCCTTAAAATGGCTTTTACATTAATCTCAACAAAGTGGCCATCACTATAATGAGTGGGGCTTGGCAGAACTCCCTTCAGCTCCATTCTCCTACTGTGACAGACAACAAACCCTATACTTAGAGTCTGCTTGCTTTGCTGAGTAACATCTGTCATGTTACTTCCTATATAGGCCCTGAATGTATTTGTGCTGTGGGACCGCTCTACAAAGTCTTCATAGAATTGCAGTTATCAACTATTCGCTGCTATCACAAACCACAAAATTACTATTCTTTTTTTGCAATTATCTTCTTTCAATAGTTCTTCCCAGCCCTTCAATGACTAGTTTAGGTGTCTGGTAATTGTCTCTGGACCCCAACATCAACTTTGTTTATAGCTAGATTTCTTTATTCATTGTATGACAAATTATCTTTACAAAAGCCTCTCTAATATTTTTTATAGAGGGTATTTTGTGGCTTTTTAGCCCTTCTTTTTGATCTTTTGATCAAAATTACTCTAACGGGGTTTATCATACATAATGCCAAGCATCTAATCACAAATTATCAGTCATAAAGGACCAAAAGCAAGAGAAAGTAAATAGATAACAGAAACAGACTCTTAAAAAAATTAGACATTACAGTTAACAAACACAAATTTAATGTGTTACTAACGTTTTCAAGAAAACAAATAAAAGTGAATCCCAGCAGAGAAAGTGACTAGAATAATTATTCAATTAACAAAATACAATCAGCAATAAAACAGAATCAAATACAAATTCTAATGTTAGAATATAAATTAATAGACAT